AAACTGTTGCGCCTTTGATCTCCAAAAGCAAGGCTACTTGGCCTTGTTGCCACCAACAGTGAATACACTGATAAACACTGACACTCAACAATTTCTGTTAGTGATTTAGAAACCAGAAGTACACCTAAGCTGCTAAGACTCCTCAAATGAAATAAACATAAAAGTAAAAACGAGATAGCTCTTAAATTAAATAAAGTTATCATCAGTGACTATAATATCTTTGACCAAGTAGTCAAACATCATCTCTCTCCATTAAAGAGGTGAAAAAAGACCAAGCTGTAACACATTAAGCTTATCCTGAAAAAACCACACCAGCACAAATCATGATCAAGTTACAAAGTGATTCCAAATGAACTATAAAAAAAAATGTTAAGGATTAACCCAAAGATTTACACTGTATGCTACATTATGCTGCATCTATTGTGGTTTGTTGACATATGATTATGAAAGAAACGTAAACTCAGTCAGATGAGAAAGATAGACTCCACGTTAATTGAAAAAGACAAACTAAGTGAATAATGAGTATATAAAAAATAGCCTATGCCATTTTTATCACCCATATATGACACTTACTCTCAAATTTATGGCAGAGACAATTGAACTATGTTTCAAATCACTGGAGGTTATTTCTTACCAGGAATGCCTCTGTGCAGTTTTTCACCTCGCTGTTTCTATTCTTATTCCGTTACTATTTGAACACAAATATATTACCAGAGCTGTAAATACCTGTCTACTGAGAAGATGTCTACTATAATCACTCTGGTTTATCCTGCAAAGTCAGATTCTTCAGCAAGCACAGGCATTCATGAAAGCCAAGGAAATGTGAAAAGGATACTTTAAACCATAGAAGAGAGAAGTTTTAAACAAGGCCGTCCTTTAAAACAAAAAAAAAATTGAGCCAGCCAATGAAGAAGAGCTACAATGTCCATAGGTGATTGTTCTTACCACAGGAGTATAAGGAGCAAGTCCAGCAACAGCTGACTAGGAGGTCGAAAAGGACTGTTAGTTTCTTCTGGACATCAGAGGTAAACAGAACTAGTGTAGTGCACAATAATGAAAGGGAAGCAGAACTTTCTCAAATCATGCACTGGATCCACCATCTCATAGCTTTCTCATCTTGCTCAGTTCTGCACGCTGTTTTCAGGATATAACTAAACAAGCAGGTAAAAAAAAATACTAATACAAGCACAAATTTAGAGAAGTCACAGTGAAATAAGGCAATCTGGACAATATGACTGTATTTAAAGAAACTGAATGATGGCTGGGAGGAAACAGTCTCTACAGCAAGAAGAGAGGTTTTTGTTCAGCTTTGGGTTGCTGGGGGATTTTTTTGAAGACGAAGAAGAAAAAACAGATATGGAACCTTATACCCAACTCTATATGGGCTAAAGAAAGCTTTGTTCCATTTTCCTAGTTAAGAAAAATCTTCAAAACTTTTAGTCTATGAAAGCAGAAGATTAAAACTAGAAACTTTGTGAAATGTGAAAGGAGAACAGATTATGGATCTTACAAAGGTTAGAGAAAAAGATGCAAAAGATGCAAATGCTATAAATATATACACAGATCATAGCAATATCAAAAACTTTTAAAAACTATTCTCAATTCCTTCAACTCAATCTCCACATCCCAACCAAAACGACTGAAGGAACCAGTCTGATTTACGTTATGGGAAGAAAAAAATACGCCTCTGGTGAAGAAAGCAGCCTCTGAAATCTCTCTCAGCTAAGGAAAGCCAAAGCTTACTGTGTGCATCAAGTAGCAAGGAAAAATAAAAACAAGCAGGCCTTCAACAATATACATAACCAATAATAATTGGACTGCAAGAAAGAAACACAGCAACATCCCACTCATCCCACACAGAAAGATTCTGAACAAACAACTGAAGGTGAAGGCACCTTTTCAAAAGGAGAAGAGGCACAGTAGGCCTCCCCCACTAAATTGTGAAGACATCATCTAGAAGGTACAGAGACTTGGAAGGAAATGACACACACACTACCTCACACCTCCCTGTGTGAAGCAGGAGATAAGAAAGCTGCAAAATGATTTTCTCCCTCCATTCAAAGTTCAACCCACCACCAGAGGACCCTGATTCTGCCCCCAGTTTTTCCCTCCTGCTACTTAAGCAAGCCAGAGGAGAGAGCTCGGGATTGTGAAATCCCAACAACCTCTGCAATAAGCTCATTGCCTCACTGACCTTCCCCCTTCAACTTCACAGAAACAGCTTCCTCCTCTTCCAAGTGATGTGGTTAGCCCTGAGTTCAAGCTGTGCTTCTGCCTGGAACATTTCAGCACCACTGACATGTGGCCACAGTGACCCTGCCAGCACGTGTGACAGAATTTGTTTTTGCATTAAAGATATAATATTGTTTGGGTTCAAAGTAAAGCACTCTCAAGTCAGAAAGCTTCCTGTGCAACTCTAATTCATCCCCTGGTGTGTTTATTCCCATTATCACCATGTTTAACTCCAGGAGCACTTAGCATGTTTTCCAGTAGGACCCCTAGTTGTTCAGCATGGGGGGGCGGACCCTATTCCAACGATCAATCAAGGCTAAGCAGGGATAAAGAAGTCCATATGATCACTGCTCTGCTTGCTGCTGCAGTAGGAAAAAGCAGGCAAAAAGACTGAGGATGTGAGAAACAGTACAACATTCAAGAGATTTCGAATCTGCAACTGCCTTGCTGCCAGGTGAACACTGGGTTAAAATAGGATGCATGGTGCTAGGCACTAACTGCATGTTTCTGACAGATATGAAAAAGTGCCAGGCACTTCTAATGGCCACTGAATAGAGACATCTGACCAGTGTTATTTTCTAGAGAAGCCAGGGCAGTACGGAGGCAGGTGTATTTCAATTCCACTTTCGTTCCACCATTGATTATTTCTGTGACCCCCAGATCACATCTTGTTTATTACACTAATTTTAGCGACGGGAAAACAATATTCTCTCATATCAAAGAGGTGTTGAATCAATACCTGTGAGCCATTAAAATAATACATTAAGAAGCATGCTTGAAGACGAGCATGCAGAAATGAGAATCTATTCATTGCAGACTTTGTATCGTACAGGAGTTGCTTAATGAATAGTAAAGCCATTACACAGCTCTCTTCCTCCCTCCATTACTAAAAATCTTCAGTACTTTAATAGTCTGGGCCAGAAGAAGCAGGGCACTGTATAATTAAGGATTACCAGAACCTAAGTGTATCCAGAATGCTCATAGAGACTGAACTACTCTAATTTCTAACTTCCACACAACTTTTCTTGTAACATTAAAAAAAAAAAAAAAAAAAAAAAAAAAAAAGAGAGGCTAACGCACTAACTTTGTAAAGTAAACCTTTATTCTTTGAAAACAGAATAGGATCATTGAATTTTTACATTGCATAACCACAGTTATCCCTACATTTGTTTCCTCTTGATAATTCTGCAAATAAGGATTTAAAGTTACAAACCATTTTTCATTCCTCACTATCTCCACTCTGCTAGGCTTCTGCTTTGCATTGAGTCCCAAAACAAAATTGCTTGTGAATGTAAGTTAAGTGAAAAATTCTGTTACAGTTACAGGTACTTATTATGTATCTGTGATACCGTAATAATGAAAAAGATTTAAAGACCACTGGTAAATCATCCCCCTCTACTGACTTCAGTATTATAGACAGTACTGATGAAATGGTCTTAATTTTCCAGAAAAGCTGCATCCACTGCACAACCATGGGATACCCATGTATAACCTGGGCTATTGATTGCAATGAGTTTATGCACACCCCCTCTTGAGGGAAAGCAGGGGTTGCCACCTCCACTTTGGAACACCAACTTCTTTATCGCTCTTTCCACAGCAGACTGGATGAAACTGAACAAAGGGCCAGGTGCATAGGGGAAGCACAGTGACAAAAATGAAGCTGCAGTTTGGAGTTACCATGTAGTTATCATCTGCATGATACCATCCTCCTCCAGAAGTTTCTGAGAGCAAATTCACCAAGTCAAGTAGCTCTTATACAAATGAAAACTTCACATGACCCCAAGCTGGAAATACTTTAACACCATGGAAACTACAAGGGCTAGGTAAAAGCCTCTAAGGCTAACCTTTTCATTGTTATTAATTAGGAACCCAGCCCATGACAAGAAGTCAGCAGAAGCTCTCTTTTTCTTCCAGTGGCATTTCACGTTGGTTATACTACAGAGAGAATGTGATCTCCAAACAACATACTTACAGTCAGTGGTTACTACAGCCCTTCAGGAGAGCTGGCAGAGGTATGTACAAGGTAAGAATGCAAGATAAGAACAAAGCAGTTCAGCGCCAACTCTTACCACCAATGCGTTTAAGAACTGAACTGTGCCCAAAGGCAAGGAGCTGCACCAAGTTCCAGGGGGTGCCTGGCCTGGTAGCCGAGCACTCCTTCCAAAGACAAGCTTTTCAGAAGCACAGCTAACTTGAACGGCTTTGACAGAACTGCGCAAGTTCCCGTACCAGAAAGAGAAGTTCTCAAAAGAGAGATTCTTCCGCTCACTGGGAAATTCGGACGCCTTCGAAGCGCCTCCTAAGGCACTGCCGGGGCGACGAATACCTCTCCTCTCCTCGCGGCGCTCAGCCACATCGTAGCCGCGCGGCCACGCCGCGAGCCCGGCCCTGAGCTCGGGCACACCGACTAACAGTTCGGCGCCCCATGACGCCGCCGGCCTCCAGCACGGAACTGCGGGGCTTTTCGACCGAGTACTGGCTCTCCTACCGACCGGGCTGAGCGACAGACGCCGCACCCGCTCCCGCCGTCGCCAACAGGCACGGAACGAGGCGGCAGCCGGGCCACCCGCACCGCTCCGGCTGCAGGGCATTAGTGCCCGCGGCGGCGGCGTCCCGGAAGAAGGAGGAAGCCGCCCGAGGAGCGCGGAGCGGGCGCTACCAAGCGCCGGGGGCTGCCCCGGCCCACACCGGCCAGTCATGGCCCGCCCCCCATCGCCCGCCCCCCGGGAAGCCCTCCCTCCTTCCTGCCCTTCCTCCGTTCGCCGTACCTGCCAGGAGGCCGCAGACGTCCTCGGGGATAGCGGCGCCGTGCATGCTGCGGGCGGCGGGCGCACCCCGCGGGCGACTCGCCTGGGCCGTGCCCCGGCTTCGGCCCCGCCGGGGAGGAAGCGGCAACCCCGCCCCGCGGCCGCAACGGCACGGCCTAGAGCCGCCGGGGCGGGGCTTCGAGCAAAAAGGCGGGGTTTCACGCTACGAGGCGGGGCTTCATACCGGGGGAGCGGGGCTTCGCCCGCCCGCCGCGTACCGCCCCCTAGAGCCGCGCGTGCGCCTCCGCCGTCCCTATGTTTACAGCCGCTGCTGGGTGTCCCCCGTAGCAACGCCCCGCCACGAGGCATCGCCGTCCACGTGACTTGTGCCGGAAGTCGTGTTGCGTGAGGGCGCCGTGCGGACGCTCTCTTCTTGCCAGAACCGAGCATGGCGCTTAGCCGTGGTCGTCCACTCCTCTCCGCCCCGCGGCACGCGAGAGGTTGACTATTGGATGAGAGGCCCGGAAGTCGCTCTCTGATTGATCCGTTTGTTGTCCCGTGCTTCCTAAGCTGAGGGCGGGTTCCCTCCGGCTCTACGAACAGGAATGGTTAGGAGCCGGCAGTGGGCTGAGCCATGCCTGTGGCTTGGCTGGTGGGTGTGAAGGGTGGTAAACATTGGCACCGCTACTTCTAAATGTCTTTAATCCTCGTTTAAAGCACAGTGCAGACTTCAGTTTGCTTGTGGGCAGGTGGGATAGCACTGCTGAGGGAACAAGGCAGAGGATGTTGACCTCTACACTGCAAGTTATCCAGGCTTCCTTTCTACCCTGCTGCCAGCGTCAAGGCATAGGATAGCAGATCATGGAGTTACTAAGGTTGCAAAAGAGCATTGTCTGACCACCAGCCCATCCCCACCATGCCCACAAACCGTGTCCCTCGGTGCCACATCTGCACGGTTCTTGAACACCTCCAGGGGCACTGACTCTGCCACCTCCCTGGGCAGCCTGTGCCACTGTATCACCATTCTGTCAGAGAATAGTTTTTTTCCTAATATCCAACCCGAACCTCTCCTGGTCCAACTTAAATCTATTATCTGCAAAAAGAGGCCAACACTCAGCTTGCTACAACCTCCTTTCAGATAGTTGCAGAGAGCAAATCACAACCCTGCCTCAGCTCTGCCTGTGTCCCAACAGCTGCAGCTGGCACAGTAAGGCCAGGTAACCTGAGGAGAGGAAGTGACATGCACACATAAAGAAATGGAAAGTGCTTGGGATAGATCTCTTGGTGGTGGGCAGAGGTGTGGTCATTGAGCAACGCAGCTGGACCAGCTTTGAATAGGAGCCAACTTTGTAGAAGGGTTGTTTTGCTCACAGGGACAGCTGTGTTATATTTTGCCAGCAAATCACTAGTCATCTGTATTGGAATGCATCAGTGATGTCATGTGTTTAGTGTAGTAATGGCTCAAGTAAACTCCTAACATGTGCTTCTGTGACCTTGATGGTTTTGGCTATATCTGTGTTGTTAATAAAGAAAATGTTTGTGTTGGAGCACATCTGTATATCCTACCAGTGTAGGGAAAAAAATAAAAAAATAAAAAAGGCATGGGAAAAAAAAATACTATTTATAAAATGTCTCCTTTGCACCAGTACACCTATATTAATCCCAGCTGGCAGTACATCTGTATCAGTCTGATATTAAACAGTTCCTTTCTTTGGTTGATGTAGCTGTGCCCGCAGAAATCTGCACTGTAGACATAGTGTTAGATTATATGATTCTCCTGACCTCTCACATCCCTTTTGATTATACAGCACAATTCTTTTCAAATACATCTGGGTTTTCAAAGCATTGCAGCTTTATTACCTGATTTTATGGCCATCTTGATTAAAAGTGAAGCAGTTAACTGACCTGCATAATGTTGCACATCATTTCTATGTTAGTTCTCCAATTTCAAAATAAACCTGAATGTGAATCTGGGTTCTTATGTGTATATCTATATCTTTCTTTTTGTGTTTGTATAAATACCCACTACTCATCTATTTCAAGAATACGTCTGATTAATTTCCTTTAGTTAACAACAAGGGCTCCTCAGGCTTATGTTAAATTACACATTTCATACATGCAGTTTTGGGAAGCTGCCATGAGGAACAGGAAAATGGCTTCCAATTTAATTTGCTTGCCCTTCTCCAGGTTAATTTTAATCCTGCTTTCTTATGTTGACTTTATAGCTCCATCCATTTCTGTTCCAGAAATAAGTCAAAGGTGTCACCTGAACTCTGTTGTAGTCTTTGTTTTAAGATCACTTTTCCTGATAATTTTTTCCATATGTTTACCATTTGTATGAGCTTCCCTGGGGTTTCAGAAAATAAAATGAGAAGAATAACTTACCTTTATTATTTTCCATCCTCCCTATTTTATAGGGGTTTTTTTCTACTTATTTTTTTCCTTAAAGTCCTCCTTGTTGCAATGAAGACCTGCCCATCATACAGTTGGTAAGATTTGTGACTCAGGCCTATTTAAAGCCTTGTTAAGTTCCAGGTTTGCCCTTAGTTCCCTAATTTTTAAATCTACCGCTAATAGGAAGCATAATTCAAAACAGACTCCTTCACTGAAACATGTCTGGCTTCACAGCCATTTCAGCCTGTTTTCTGAGAATTCCACAGCTTATCCCTCATCTAAACCAGACCTACTGTCTTGCTTAATCAAGCTTGTAGATCAGGGATTCTTGATGTTTGGGTAGCAGAGCCACAGGGAATGCACACAGGTTTATTGTCTTTCCTTGTGGGGAGAGCTATGAAAACAGGGAATTCGTGATGAGAAGCCTAGCTGAATCTGCAGAGAGCCTGTACTAAAACAACTGCAGAAGGAATAAAATTTCCCATTCCAGAGCAACATCACCACCACCTTGCCTCCATGAAGAAATTTGGCACATTCCGTGTACTGGGAAATCCAGCATTTTTCCACAAAAGGTTCCGCTTCACTCCAGGCATGCTTTTAAAACTTAGATTCCAGAGTAAGAAGCAGACAGAACCTATGTGCAGCTGCTGCTAGTTCTATACATGTCTTTTAGTAGAAAATAATTGGATTGCAGTGCATGCTCCCTGCACTATTTCAAGGCAGGCAGCAGGCTTGTTGAGGCTATGCTGTATTTTTATCTGTTCATCCCTTGTTGCTTGTCAGTCTTCTTTTAGCAGTTTTGAAACAAAATAGCCAGTCAATAATTGGAATATTTATATTTTTTAATTATTTAATCACATTAAGCAGTGTCTGGCAAAGATTTCTGGCATGCGTATCTAGTTGTCAAATGCAAGGAGAACAGACTATCTTTACAGAAGCACTTTCCTTACAAAGAAACTCAGAAACTTCTGGCTTAAAAAAAAATATATATCAGAAAACTGTGCTATTGAAAGACAATGCATTAAATATGGCAACTCTATGCATTTTGGCTGCGGTCACTGCACTGAAGAAAAGCTGTGGTGTCTCTAAAAGAGGAAAAACATATTTTGTACCCTTTGCCCTCTAGCAAAACATAATTAATGTTTTGTTAGGATTTACTACTACTGCTCCAGTTAAAATGATTTACTCACAGTCAGAGATATATTCAGGATATAGCAGCAGTTGTTTGAAGAATAAGTTTCTAAATTAACTTTGAGGCATAATAAGAGCTAATCCTTGGGGTAACAACTCCTCTACTCACCATCCATCTTCATGAAGGTTTCGTACTTTGCTGTCCTTTTACTGGCATCTTATTTAGAAAATCTTTGAAGCTTTCAAGTGCTATGCACATAGTTGGGTTGCACTGACTATTTTTTGTTCAGTTGTGGAAAAAATGATAGAAGTTTTGAATACCAAAGGTTTGTTTATATATTAGTTTCATGATGAAAATAGCTACAACAACTTTTTTTTCTACATAGTTTGAAGGCCTTGGTGTTACCATTGTATATGTTCAGTTACAAAACCGATGTACTTCTCATGTGAAGGTGATCTGCCAGATTAGTTACTTCCCAAGTTTGTGCTGTGCTGCTCTCAATGTTGCTTCCTTTAAGTCTGAAACGATTTGGGACCTCAGCACGAGGACAGCACTTTCCAACAGGTTTAGAGCACATGTCAAGAAATGCAAGTCATTCCCTTCCCTTTCCATATTTTCCTAGCTTGAAGATCACAGAGAGGTACTGATATGGAAAAGAATGGGACTGATTTCCCTGGATCATTTACTATGGGCCATATCATGATTAAGCACTTAAGCTTCAGGACTATTGGTGTTTCGTTGCTGGTTATTCACAACTGTTTGTGGCTTTCTTAATGCTGAAGTCTCCATAACTTCAAATAAGGACTAAAGAAGGCATAATTCATCATTATTTATACTCTAAAACATTTCAGCAGTGTCTAATTTTGCCTAACTAAGAATTATCTATGAAAAGAAAGACTGGTGTTGATGCAATCAAAACTATGGGATAGTAAATATAACTTTGAGTGATGTTTTCTAAACACGACATGTTGTAGGGAACAGTTTTGCATAAGCATTGCTTTTTACCTGAGCACCCGTTAGTTTTTATAGCACCGTGCTCAGAGTTTCACTAAGATCATGTTTTGAGGTGACTTTCCATCTGAGTTGGTTCAAATTGAACATCCTGAAAGTTGATTTTGGCACAAGGATAAGATTTCAGTGGACATTTTGTCTTGCTAAAACCTACTAAAGTGAGCCAAAGATAACTCCCCAAGCCTCGCAAAAAAAGACCACCACTGTTCATTGTGCAAATAACTCCAATGAAGTACAGAGATAGCTAGCTGAATAAGAGTTGCAAGATTTCAGCTCTTGCTAAATCCATTTGTTCCTATTTGTACCTAGCCTTTTGCTCTTAGACATCTTAAAAAGAAATGTCAAAAGAAAGAAGAGCCTTCCTCTCCCCGTTTTTCTTCTCCAAGATGTGTAGAGATGGCCTCATGGATCTTTTACTGCTGAGCATGATGTGAAGATAATGATAAGGAGAAAGTAGAGGAAAAAAGTTCTGTTAGACATAATAGTAAATGTTTTACATGAACTTTTTTTGTCCCCTTTAAAACCTTGATAACAAATGAATAATTTGGAGTAATTAAGAGTCTTA